TTACCTTGGGTGATAACAACACTCATGCCAAGTTTCGTCAAAATCCATCAAGAATTGTGCTTTCTAGAGTGTTTACGAGCAAAAAAATGAACGCGTTTTCAAGAACAAGGGCAATAACTCATACTGAATATTTTTCGATTCTTCTGATTTTCAATAGGGTTCATCCTTGGGTGATACGAACACTTATGCCAAGTTTCGTCAAAATCCATCAAGAATTATCCCTTCAAGAGTGTTTACAAGCTAAAAATTGAACGCGTTTTCAAGAACAATGGCAATAATTTATACTAAATATTTTTCGATTCTTCTGATTTTCAATAGGGTTCATCCTTGGGTGATTACGAACACTCATACCAAGTTTTGTCAAAATCTGTCAAGAATTGTGTCTTGTAGGGTGTTTACGTGCAATTGTGGACGGATGGACATGGGTGATGGCAATATACGCCCCCCATTTCATGTGGACGTATAAAAATGCGTTTACCACAATATGGATTCAGACTCGTCTCATTATATGTTAATCTTAATAATCTTTCTCGATAATATGATTAACACTCTGATTACAATTTGGCTTACCAACAAGATCTCTTTTAGGACCAACTTCCATGGAATTCCAATTGAATGATATATTTGACGGCCAGTTTGTGAAACCTTCGCCATGTTTACTCGTAAAAACAATGTAGCTGTAACGAAAAAGAAAAGTGAATAGGATATCCGATTTAAAAAATCTAATTTTTAAGTAAAGGGTAGATGTAATATTATTTACTTCAATACTTACTCTGCTCCAGACGACTGGAATAGTTCGGCCCATGCGTTTGGGTCGAAGAATTCTGCTGTGAAGTCTTTGGCGAAATCTGCGTAGGTAAAATCTGGTCGGTAGTTATTTTTCATAAAATTCACATATGCAGGTAATTTTTCTTGTCTCCAGTACGTCCAAAACCATGCTGCTTGAGAATGGAAACCAGCACTGGGGACAGAAAATACTCCCCAATGAATGAAAATTCCCAATTTACCATGGTCATACCAAGCAGGAAGCGGTCTACTGTCAATTGATTCCCATGTTGGTTGATAGCGAATTCCCGAGGAAATCCCTATAAGAACTACCAGAAGACAAAATCCGATACAGGAACTACCAATCCCACCCATTTCGGAAGGTTGATATTGTATTTAATGATGAATTTGAATGCGAGATACTTGATAAAGACATTGTTTGATAAATGTTATCAGTATATCCTTGAGAGGCAATCGCTTTTAAATGTGCTACTGGGGTTGAGGTCATATAGAAATGAATTTTCATTTTATTATTATGACTTTTTGCAGTATTGCAGTGAAAAAGAAAATGGCAATATTAAGTGGCTTACTAATTTGTAATAATTTGACGTCTGGCTTGTGTTATTATTGTTATTCCTTTTCAGATTGAAAATCTGTTTGACAGCATGACTTAAAAACCTTTTTCAGCTGTCCTTTCGTAGTTTTGAAAGAAAATGTGGTTTGGATGTATCTGCGTCACAATTCAATCCAATGCACGCACTTTACCTCCGATCTCATATACGGTTTAAACCATTTACAACTGAATTGGACAAGAAAGTCACTGTACACTAATAATAATGGAAAAATGTTAAGTATATTCATGTGAATTTTACGTGATGTCATTAATACTTGGTGCTAGGGTTGTATGTTCAATAATTATGTATATATTAATATAAATCTCTATTTAATACTGATCAGTTGAATTAAACATATCTGGAAGGTTCAAATAGACCACCTCGTACCCCAACTATTTGCATAAAATATGCTAAAGCCAAACCTAAAAAAAGATCTCGGTTATTATATTTGTTGTTTGTTGAAATCTTGACATTTATAACATACTTTGGTTTGTTTCTTTTTGGAAAAAAGGTAAAATATTGTATATATACGATACGATTTGAAGGTGAGTCTAGTGGCGAATTTCATTTTCAGTTTAAGTCCGACGTCATCACCCCTATCAGGTGCAATTATGTAAAGATCATATTTAAAATTGGTTTTTCTATGGTTGTATGACGAGAACAGCACAATTTCGGCGTCTTGTGGGTACCCAATGATCAATCTTTCAAGGAAATGAGAATCTAAATTCCACATAACCTCGAAAGTACAGTAACAATCATAAGAATGGACTATTCAGTCGTACACTTCTTTTGAACTTTTTGGGGCGATACTGAATGATATTACCCGGCGGATGGACATGAGTGAAGCCAATATACGCCCCCCATTTGATGTGGGCGTATAAAAATACATGGGGTGATGTGAAAGTATTTAGACCGGAAAGGTTTCTCAATTCAACTGGTGACGGGGTCAAATTATATGAGGAATTTATTCCATTTTCACTTATTGAGTATTTTTTCAGATTCATTCAGTATGTAGCTTTACAGGGCGTGACAAATTAGAACAGAATCGTCTGTGCTAAGCATTCTTATGAAATATGTTATAATTCTAGTTTTATCGAATTTCGGCTTCGCTTTACTGGTAACTGTGGCGGGTGTCTCACATCAATATTTTTTAAGGCAAACATGGTGCATAGCATGATGTAACCACTTTATCGGATTCGCCGTTTGACAGTCACATATTGTACCAAATCATGTAGGTAATTTTGAGGCAATATCTACATTTTTAACTTTCAGGTCGAAGAGTTTGTATTGGTGAATTTTTAGCTAAAATGGAGTTATTTTTACTGATAACAACTTTGATTCAACATTTTGATCTGCAACCAGCGACTCCAAATGACATTCCACCACTACAGGGTGTGATAGGTCTTACAGACAGCCGAAACACATTTTGAAATCAGAGCAATACCCAGATAAACGCGTGTTTGGTGAATTCTATTGTTTTGGACATGCAACAGAATATTTTCAATTGTGGCTAGCAACTGGTCGATTTTCATATCTAATTACCATTAATTAAACTTACTTCCGATTTTATAACGTGAGTTGCTTCATATCAGATACAAGACAGAAACGTCGGTCTCTCTTCCAGCCTCTGATGGATATTTGACAGTAGTCGGCTGGTGTAGAGACATAAAAATTAGGCCCTGTTTTGTGCAATTTTCCATACTTGAAAAACCTAATGAGAATTTAGCTTTTCACTTAAGGTATACGTTGTAGTAAATTCTAACAAATATGGAGAAGCAAAAGATGTTTCGTCGAAACTATTTTTGGCATATCTTACATGTTATGTCGTACTTCAATTAGACATAAGAAAAGACCATCAGCTTTTACTGGCGTGCAATTTTGATAAACAAGATATCCATAGTATTATATCATGCTATTGTCTTTTTCTGATCCATTAAAAACATCTAAACACTTGACATAATTCACTTTTTTTCAAATGAAAACATTTGTCCCATGCACACATCAAGAATTATAGGAAAGTGTTTGTTTCATTTCAAACATATTGGGCAGTAACAACTAGTACTGTTGCTAGATAGCTAAGATTTATCCTTACTGAATCTGGTATTGATTCTTCTATTTTTGGGGCTCATTCTTTTCGTAACGCTTCTACACCCAAATCATAACGCGAAGGATGTTCCTTAAATTAAATTTTAAGGTTGGCTGACTGGTCTTCGGCAAAGAATTTTTACAAGTTCTACTTAGAGGTTCAAGGAAGATTTTCACAGAAACTTGTCAAATTTACTGATGCAGTATAGGAATAGGAAGCAAGATAGCCTGTTAATGACGTGTAATGTAAGATTAAAATTTTGTTTATCAAGTTTTATTCATATGCTTTAAAGGTGCTATATATACATTAGAGACCGAAGGCTTATGGACAATAAGTAGTTAGTGATGGATGGAGGTCGAGCATGTATATATGCATCTTCCCACCCTAATTTGATTGACCCTTCCCCTTCCCTTCTTCGGCCCCAGAATAAAACTTTAAAAGATGAGAGTGTTACCGAATGTTGTCCTTTATATATGGTTAGGAACTGAGGTCAAGGTCATTTTGGGATCTATTTTTGTTTTCTTTCTTTGAAGAGCGATACAATGGACGAAAGGGAGATAGTCCTATATATACACATGCTCGGCCTCCCGTCTTACTCAAATAATGCCCTACATCCATCACTAACCACTTTGATGGGGGCGGCATTTATCAACATTACACTTTTAAGCATTTTCTAAATTTGACAATGTCAAAACCCACGCATATTTCACTGGTAATTTATCTATTGGTATATTTGGAAACATAATGTCAATACCGCCACCAGAACGCTTCTGCCATTCAAACTGACCAGAATATCCAATCATATTAACCGTGGTGTTTGAAGTTGGCATAGGTGCAGATAAACTGAGAACTCCATTGGATGGCCATGTTAATACTAAGGCATAAACGGTTGAATCTTTCTTAGTGTACCTGGAACAAATTACAGAATGTTCCTTAGTGGATGTAAGTAATATACCAATACAAATCGGTCTCGTTTGCCCGGTCAAGGTATTTTGTATTGCTGTAATCTGAAGATTTTATGAAACAGTGTCCCATTGTACTATTTAATTGTTTTTTTTTTCAAACCAGTATTTCATTCTTAGCATTTGTATAATATTCATCATTTGGATTTTAGTTTTAGAACTTTAAATACACCACACTGTTCATTCTTATATTTAGCATCAACAGTTTTATGACTTGTTAACCCACACTTCGTTATATTGACAATTACCAATGATATGCAGTCGATAATATTTCAATTGGGTGATATGCGATGGAAGAAATCGATTTAGTAGAACATGAAGAAGTGATGAGTCTAGCACTGCTGTTTTCTTCTGTGTCCATATTCCTACACTACATATGCATTTGCATCTTAATCCATAAAATGACTTTAAAATACGTACCATGTATCCGGCACCATCGTATCATTTTGAGTCGTCCATGGATTAGTTCCCCTAATAGCTTCCCCATTAACTCCCATCCATGCTCCCACTTGACGTAACCTTTCTTCAAATATTGGTGCTATTACGCCATCTTTCTGTGGCCCAACGTTCATTAACATATTACCACCAAGACTATCAACATGAAGTGTTAAAAATACAATAATTAAAATTGTAATAATTATGATTATTAATTAAATTCAATAATACAAAATATTTATTTCAGATTTGTTTTGTTAATATCAGGCTCCATTTTGCGATTGTTTCAAAATATTCGTGTCGAGGATAAGTAGTAGTATTATACAAAAAAGAAAACAAGTACTAACGATCCGAAACGAACCCTGAAATCCAGAACAACATATTGTGGAAACATTGGTAGCAGCTGAGGAACTTTTCACAAGAAACTACACAAATATCCACAAAGTTAAAAATGAATATAATAGTACGACTGCATTAAGTAGATAAAGCATACTCACCTAACCGTTTGAATGAAAATAGCAAGTAATTCCTCAATAGTAAGATAGTCTTCCAGATTTGCATTCCGCCTGAATCCCCATGAACCTTTATCAATAGTCATGGTATTTTCCCACTTTTTGGGTGGTACTTTGGCTGCAATTAATTATGAATCAAATATAGCGCTTTAACCATTATACAAAAAGAGAATGTAATCCTTTTCATCTGTTCTAGATTGATTGAATACATCGTGGCTGTTAAATTTGTATGCTAAGCAATCTTTGCCCAACAGATACTTACTGGGCATATATCTGTCTTTACAAGTCCAATATCCACCATGTTTGCATGTATCATTCATTCCCCACCTGTCGTTGGTTACAACAATATCCTTAACTGGACTGAAAATACCATATAGATTTTCAATTTGTGGTATCAAATAAATTCGATATTTTATGCAATATTTTATGGAAAGGTGACATGAACAGGCTTTTGTGTAATTCATCGCCTCAATTCAGCAAAAAAAAAAAAACCGGAGACTAACTTGAATAAGTCATTAGAGGGATAATAAAAACGTTTTAAAACTTATTATGTGCATTGGGTACTCCAATAGCATCGATTTGCACCATTAGAATTTTATCTTGTTATTCCATTAAAACTTAGCGTTTTTTGAAACGTTTAATTTCGATGTAATGTTAAGAACCACAGTCGTCTTACGAAAAATTAGTTTGGTGCAAATTGAAGTCTCATATACACTAAAAACAATCCCTTTAATAAGTTTCCTTCAGCGACAATTTCATATGTTTCAATATCCTTCATTTTCTATATTTTTTTTTTCAATATTTTTAAACAAAGCAGTAATAGATATACCTGTCATTGTAAAGCCATGCAAGAAACTCGGTAGATCCCCAGTATGTGTCAGGAGCTTCATAATCGCCGTCAGACCATACAATATCAGGTTGGTATTTATTAACTATCTCATAAAGGGCAGGCATAGCTTTAGTCTAAATATAATGAACTGATATAGGCCACTAAACAGAAGCAATTTCAGATAAACACACTGACGTGGAATGTAAAGATAGCTTGCCAGGCAAGGTAACATACGCCCACTACCAGCTGTCAGAAATGACAACAAAATATAAATAAATAATGAATTTTCAAAAAATCTTAAAATCATCTATAAGTCAAGGCAAAAACTTGAAACAGTTCATAAAATTATTAAATTCAAACATGAACAATGTCTCATCGCTCTACCCACAAGGGCAATAACGGTTCATCGAATTATTACCAAATTTAACGCTTTTTTTCTAAGTCAAGGGCAATAACTCCAAAACCATTATTACCAATTTCAAACTCGACTGAGATCTCATCGACATATACATGCATACTTAGTTTCATCTAGGTTGGATAAAAACTGTAGTGTCTATCGTGCCTACAATTGGAATTTGAGGGCAATAACTCCGAACCCATTCATCCAATTATTACGAATTTCGAACTTGACTGAGATCTCATCGACATATAGATGCATACCAAGTTTAATCAAGATCAGATAAAAACTGTAGTCTTTATTGTGGCTGCAAGCCAAATTTGAGTTTTTACTCAGTCAAGGGCAATAACTCTGATACAGACAGAACCGACTTTCATCTGTAGAGCACCCTCGCTTTTTAAAGTTAACTTTCTTTTACCTGTCAGTTTAGATATAATGCCTAACGTTTAATTAGTTATTTCCACATAAATGTAGACGTGACTCTCGGGATTATTTTGTAGTTTATTATGTTGACTATGAAAACATCAATTTACTAACTAATACTTACCCTAACGAAATCATATGTCTTCCAGTTATTGGCTTTATCATTAATGTACAGAGGGTTAAGCCATTCATACAGACAGTGATACAAACCGAAATGTAGATTTGTTTTTGTCCTTATGGCTGTCATAAGTTCTCCTAGAAAATAAGATAGCCACTCAATTAGATTATTTGGAAGACTTATTTTGGTGTCCGTTATCAAGTAACGAGGTCATTATGATACACATCTAGTCAAAAGAGTTACTATCAAGAAAACAAACTTTCGATACTGAGCGAAAAGCGTTTTTATATTAAGACTGTGATTGACTATCGGATAGTGCATATTGTTCAATTTAAAAAAATACACGCCATAGATGTTCAGTCTTTGGGCATTTTCTGTTGTTTTTTACATTTTCATAGGCACTTGTAACCGATGACGTTCAATGTTACACGTGAGAAGATTAATGATGCCCAAAGCCCTATGACAATGGCTAATGTAATTGGGCTGTAATGATTTTGCTTATCAACTGGTAAGGAAAGCAAAAAAAAAATTTGGCTTACCAACTAGATCTCTTTGAGGACCAACTTCCATGGAATTCCAATTGAATGATATATTGGACGGCCAGTTTGTGAAACCTTCGCCATGTTTACTCGTAAAAACAATGTAGCTGTAACGAAAAATGTGAAGTGAATACCACATCAAAAATTATATAATAATCCTCCGTGTGATAGAAATCAATGAACTAGGTTAGCTAATTTATAAAATCAAATTTTAAGTAAAGGGTAGATGTAATATTATTTACTTCAATACTTACTCTGCTCCAGACGACTGGAATAGTTCGGCCCATGCGTTTGGGTCGAAGAATTCTGCTGTGAAGTCTCTGGCGAAATCTGCGTAGGTAAAATCTGGTCGATAGTTATTTTTCATAAAATTCACGTATGCAGGTAATTTTTCTTGTCTCCAGTACGTCCAAAACCATTCTGATTGAGAATTAAAACCAGCACTGGGGACAGAAAATACTCCCCAATGAATGAAAATTCCCAATTTACCATGGTCATACCAAGCAGGAAGCGGTCTACTGTCAATTGATTCCCATGTTGGTTGATAGCGAATTCCCGAAGAAATCCCTATAAGAACTACCAGAAGACAAAATCCGAAACAGCAACTACCAATCCCACCCATTTTGGACGTATGATATTATATTTAATGATAAATTTAAGATACTTGATAAAGACATTGTTTGATAAATGTTATCAGTATATCCTTGAGAGGCAATCTTTTTAAATGTACTACTTGGGGTTGAGGTCATATAGAAATGAAGTGTTAATTTTATTATTATTAAGACTTTTTGCAGTATCACAGTGAAAAGTCACACAGTTAAAAAGAAAATGGCAGTATGTAGTGGCTAACTAATTTGTAAATAATTGTACGTCTGGCTTGTGATATTATTATTATACCTTGATTTAAAATCTGTTTGACAGCATGACACAAAAACCTTTTTCGATTGTCCTTTCGTTGTTTTGAAAGAAAATGTGGTTTGGCTGTATCTGCGTCACAATTCAATTCAATGCACGTACTTTACCTCCGATCTCATACACGGTTTAAACCATTTTCACCTGAATTGGACAAGAAAGTCACTGTACAATAATAATAATGGAAAAATGATACGTATATTCATGTGAATTTACGTGATGTCATTAATACTTAATGCTAGGGTTTTATGTTCAATAATTAGGTATATATTATTATAAATCTCTATTTAATAGTGATGAGTTGAATTAATGATCATTGATAATGCACATATCGGTAGTTACCAACTGATTTCAAACAGTGTGATAATTAATGTATATAATTACTGATATTCTAATTAATTTTAATAGCTTTTTATTTTATTTTAATATTCAAATATACATCATATGATATAGAACATAAATTAGTATTCATGATAATGAACAAATTTTATTACTCATAGTGGAATATGGTTGGCCAATGCAGTGAAAATGACCATTTTCTCTCTTGCTTAAAAGCATAGAGTTATCATAAATTAGATTCCACTCATCACTTGTATTTATCTAAAATGGATAGCCGTCTATATGGATTGTTCAGTGAAAATTTGTCTGTGATATTAATTATATTAACAACTTTAGGAATTTGGTTCAGTTTCTTTCGAAAGCCACGTGGTATTCCACCTGGACCTAATTGGACCTTGCCTTTATTGGGCGATCTTCTCAGCATTGCTAATCCAGATGATGGTGGGGATTCCAGACTACCATTCAGACGATTAAGAAAAAAGTATGGAGATATTTTCAGTGTATATTTGGGTCCCAGGTTGGTCGTTGTATTCAATGGGTATAAAACAATTAAAGACGCATGTATCAATAATGCCGATGTCACTTCACACAGACCAGATATTGTTACATTTAAAGTAATAGCACGACAAAAGGGTGAGTATTTTGAAAATAATAATTGTGCTTAGTTAGTGTCCGGGTTGGAAACATATCTGGAAGGTTCAAATAGACCAATCTAGATGTCCGGTTTGGTGTACGATTGTCAAACGCACAATTTCGGCATCTTCTCAATCTTTCAAGGAAATCAAAAATGAGAATCTAAATTCCACATAACCTCGAAAGTCCTTCAGTTGGGACAAATATTTTGTGGGCAACCTAAGTTTTCTTGAATTAAATATATACATGTAGTAGACCCATGTGATTAATTTGACATATAAATGAATAGAACATCTGCTTGATTCAAAGCATATTTCTTTTCATGTAGTAAAATCACATTAATATTAAGAAATATATTCTTTTGTTAAAGGTTTGTTTGCATCAAGTGGAGACGATTCAAAAGAGCAACGAAAAGCTGTTACGGAAGTATTTCGATTGATCGGAAAAGCTAATTTAGAAGAAAAAATTCAAGGAGAAATCGAATGCTTCACTGAACATATACGCAAATTCGATGGTAAAAATATCAATATCATCACACTTGTTCAGGCGTCAATTGCAAACGTTATTGGATCTGTAGTTTTTGGAAAAAGATTCGAATACGATGACGAATTATTCAAAAATTTCTTGTACAAAATGGAAGAAAATATGACAACTCTGGGTGGAACTAACATCATTACTTACTTTGAATTCTTACGACATCTTCCTGGTGACTTATTTGGAATTAAAAAGGTCCTAAATAATGTAAAATATGTTCAAGACAAAATCATTATACCTTCCATCGATGATCACATCAAACATTTTGACGACAACAATACCCACGACTTCATCAGCGCATATATCAAACAAATGAACAAAGTTGACAAGACTCGTCAACAAAGAACAGCAGTAGACAGTAAGTATTTCTTTACTATATGAAATCTGATAACATGACAATATATTCTGTTGCTTTATTTTCGTGTTAGATCCTCGTTACCATATATGATTCACACAACAGAGGTTTTACATCCACAGCAACATGTAATGAGGCATATACGACCAACTTCTGGTTATTTGTTAGCAAACATGTACATAACTGAACAAAAATGGCGTTGAGTTGGCTCTCCGAAGGGTAAACCAATTTGCTGCATGTCTATCCAATTGGATCTGACATGATATAAAGATAGCTTGCCAAGCAAGGTACCCTCATATACGCCCACAGACAGTTTTTAGTTTGATTAAAAATTTTGGCAGTACAGTAACAGTCATAAGTATGAAATATTCAGTCATACACTTTTGAAGTTTTGTCAAAATCTGGCAAGAATCGTGCCTTTTAGTGTAAAAAGCTAAAGATTGAAAACTTTTTCAAGAACTCCTTCAAAACATGTTTTGATTTCCCATAGGGATCATCCAATGTCACCAAAATCAATCAAGAATTATTATGCATTTAGTAGTTATTATGTGTTTACTAGATAAAAACAACTAAACGCGTTTCCAAGAAAAGGGCAATAACTCATACTAAATATTTTAGATTCTTTTGATTTTCGATAGAGTTCATCCTTGGGCGATAACAAACCACCAAGTTTCGTCAAAAACCGTCAAGAATTGTGCCTCCTAGAGTGTTTACGGGCAATTGTGGAAAGCCCGACGGACGGACATGGGTGAAGCCAATATACGCCCCCCATTCATGTGGGCGTACAAAAATACCTTGTCCAAGCGTAGATCAAATTTTGTCAAACATCTCTCAACATTTAGTATTCGAAAATAAATCGGCTGATTTGCTGTCAGGGCAAATTTTCCTTATTACACATTTCTTAGTGTTGCCCGTTGTAGGGCCTGAAACTCCATATTTTAATTTTCTAGGAGAAAATCTACTTGTGAACGTTGTCGACCTTTTTGTTGCTGGTACGGATACAACAGCTGCAACAATTTCTTGGACAATTCTTTTATTTCTGCATCATCCACGTGTGTACGACAAATGCTGCAAGGAAGTACAAGAAGTCGTTGGGATTGGACGCAGACCAACAATGAAGGACAGACCTACCATGCCTTATGTTGAAGCCACCATTATGGAGGTCTTACGTTACTTTAATATTGGATTGCTTGGGGGACCACACGCCGCTAGCGAGGATACATATATTGGTGGATATTACATCCCGAAAGGGACCATGCTCTTGTTTAATCTGGATTCAGTTTTATGTGTCGACGAAGAACCATGGGGTGATGTGAAAGCATTTAGACCGGAAAGATTTCTCAATTCAACTGGTGACGGGGTCAAATTATATGAGGAATTTATTCCATTTTCACTTGGTAAGTATATATCAGATTCATTCAGTAAGTAGCTTTACGGGGCATGACAAATTAGAACAGAATCGTTTGTGTTAAGCATTCGTATTATTATTCTAATTTTATCTTATTTCGGCTTCGCTTTATTAGTGACTGTGGCGGGTGTCTCAAATCAATATTTTTGCAAGGTAAACATGGTACATAGCATGATGTAACCACTCTATCGGTGTCGCCGTTTGACAGTTTGATATTTTATCAAATCGTGTAGGTAATTTTGAGGCAATATCTACATTTTTCACTTTCAGGTCGAAGAGTTTGTATTGGTGAATCTTTAGCTAGAATGGAGTTATTTTTACTGATAACAACTTTGATTCAACATTTTGATCTGCAACCAGCAACACCAAATGACATTCCGCCGCTAAAGGGGATGACAGGTCTTACACACAGCCCAAAACATTTTGAAATCAGAGCAATACCCAGATAAACGCTTGTTTGGTGAATTGTTTTGGACATATGCAACGGATATTTTTGTATACAATTGTGGCCGATTTTCATATTTAATCATCTTGTACCATTTATTAGAACTGCTTCCTATTTTTAAACAAGAGATGCTTAGTTTATATTCATATCAGATACAAGACAGAAACATCGGTCTCTATTCCAGCCTCTGATAGATATTTGACAATAGTCAGCTGGTGTAGAGGCATAAAAACTAGGCCCTGTTTTGTGGAATTTCCATACTTGGAAAGCCCAATGGAAATTTAGCTTTTCCCTTGAATTTCAACGAAAACAGATGTTTTGTCGAAACTATTTTTGCATAACCTACATTATTATGTCGTACTTCAATTAGACATAGAAAAGGCCATCAGCTTTTGCTGGCGTGCAATTTTTATAAACAAGATATCCAAAGTGATATACCATGGTCTCTATCAGTAGCATATCCTTGACACATATCACAGTGTTCGATATATACGAAATATAGATATAACCTATAGACGTGTATTTTGTAGTTAATTAGCTGTTTGGCGATTAAACTAAATGTTAGCTATTCGAAGCAACAGAATAAGTATAACTGCAATGTTTCAGATATTTGATGCAGGCATCATATTTTTTTAGGTGTGATGTCAATCAAATATTGTCAATTTCTTTGGTAACGGCTTTTGTATAAGTTTTCGCTTGTTTCTGAAACCATGACTTGACTGTATGTATCTATTTATTGTAAATGAGCTTATGGCTTTTACTAGAGGTTGGCATATTAGAACCGCACTTTCACCAATACCAAATGATAAAAACTGAAGATGTTATTTCTGTACTACCCAGGTAAAAGGCAAATCTTTTATTCATAAATTAAGCTACTGATCAGTTGCTATGGTCTAGTAGTAGGAATTCAATACCATTTTCTTCACATTTAGTTGGACGATAATAAGCACTTTAGCGTCCTGAGTACCACTAGCGAGACAGAATGCCTTACTCTTCCGAAATATATTATTTGGCATCCCTTTCAGAGAGTTAACATGGCACATACCATTTTTGGTATAATTATTTCAAACCATGAGGGCAGTTCATTTGGTATATACATCCATCAACATATAACGGGACCATACGCATGACCTCATCTGGTGTGGTATATCTGTCAAAATTTTCATATGCCACGAATCAACCAGGAAGAATGAAAAACATATATGATTTAAATATTTATTCGAAATATTTTATTTGATTTAAATCAGCTTCTATTCAAAGTGTCATAAATAATATCATACAATAACATATTAGCACTAATTTCACAATAATATAACAACATAACAAATGTCAAGACGATCAAGAGTTCGCACTGTCAATGATATTTATCACAAGTACGTGTTCTCGTTTTCACACAAAATATTCACAATGTTTGTTCATATCATTAAACACAGGGCCACTGGAATCCATATCACTAAACTGGTTCATCAGACACTTCCTTCCACGGGACTTCTTGGATCTCAAAATATCAGCAACGTTGATACAAATCTCATCTTCATCTGTCGAAGCTGGATCATAACCCATATCTTCTTCCTTTAGTCCATAAGATTGTAAACCTCGGCGAATGCTGGCGTACTGGCCACATTTACTTTCAGGTTGGATCATACGGCGCTTCAGACTGTTGCGAAGAAGGGTGGACTTGTCGGTTGAACGATGAATACCACAAACTGGAACAGGTTGAGAAATCTTGGATGGTGTTAATAAATGAGAGGGTCTTTCTATTGCAGTCCTTCTTCCACTACCAAGAGAATCGTGGGCACTGTGGGTGCGTCTAATAGCTCGGCATCCCATCTTTGGTGTCTGTGATAATCTGTGAGAAATAGTCGAATCGTTCAAATCAGCTAAATCCAAACTGTCTAGGTTATTCACCACAGAATCATCTAAACTGGAATCGGTACTATGGCACGAGTTGTCGGTATCAAAAAACCCACCACTGTCGTCGGAATGGAAACGCCTTTCATTTTCTTCTCCGGGAAAGCAGGTCAAGTAAATGGGTTGTCGGAATCTAGGTTCGGTTTCTAGTCGGTTCTGCATACTTTCTAAGTCGCAATGACGACGACGAAGATCTGTTTCTTCATCACAATCATAGTCAAGCCAGGAAAACTTATCACTGGAACTGCAGTCAGAGGATCGGAAGGAGCTCAAACCAGAACACCGACAGGTGGAATTTTCAGGAATGTCATAAACACCAGGTAAAGGCTTTTCACACAAGCTACAAATGACTTCGCTTAGAGATGATGGAACATGTATATGGTGGGACTTCTTATGCTGTTTGGAATCCATTCGATCGACCAAAGAAACTATGGAATATGCCAGTTCGACCTTCTGTTGTGCTGGTGATGACAGTTCCTCGTAGATGTGAAAATCGATACCTTCATGACAGGATAATTCCGCATTTCCGTGGGATGACTGTTTTTTGGTTCGTTTGCATTTCTTCTTGATCCAACGCAACATGGTGGCACTGAAAAATATAAAAACATTATTAATAATTCAGGTCATTAAGGGGTTGAATCGTTATGCAACATTATCTATGATTTTCTGTATTCATATAACGCAATGTTCGAAATAAATCTTTACCTTTTAAGCAGATATAAACAAGAAAGTATGGATCCAGTAAAGCACAAATTATTAGAAGAATGATAATTCGAAAGTAAGAAATTTTAATTTATACTAATGAATGCTAATTAATCGGCAATTAACCAATGAGAGCATTGATTGGGCGCTCGTGACAATAGTCACTCATCAACAAGCCATATGGAGAGACATGAAATTCTCTCACCAGGCCGTTAATCCTTAATCCACTAATCTAGTGGATTAATCTCAAGACGATTATTACTTATGAACCAATCATTGCTGATCTACAACAGGTAATCGACCAACCAGATATCAGAAAGGGCATTTAGAGACCCACCGTAGCAATCTATACCTTACAGAAACAACATGTCATAATTTGTATATTGCCACTGAATACAATTCACTTAACGCAGTTAACAATGGAATTTATGAAAATTCGAAAAATATTGTCTCATGTCAACATGTGGGAAATAACAATTTGTGGTTGCCATCGTGAGATATTTTATTATCCGCTGGAAAGAAAGCCGTTAGATTTTAATTTTATTGATACTTGTAATTACGCACCAGGTATCGCACGTGATGTCTTCAGAGGAATCATACCACATGTTAATTTGATCACAGAAAACTTAATAGCGTTGATCAGGCTAACCAAATATTAAGAAATGCAGATTGAAAAGCCCAAGCTAATATGAATTTACGAATATACATTTCCACTTGTTTGTCTCTTTTCTAGAATACCTAGTCCAATAGAAAAGAATTTTTGTTACAACTTAAAATTATGTCTACTGGATTTGATAAAGCAAAATATAAATATCTTTTTAAACTATGTATCCACGGTAATAACAATGGGCGAAGTAAATTATCATTATCATATTTGTTCGATTACATACCTTAATATTCACTATTATAATACAATATGAATGGAAACGGTTATATAACTTCAAGTATAAGATATTGTTTTTTGGAATACGATGATATGATACTTCAAAACATGTTCTTGACTTTATATATCGATATTGATTAGTATTCATTATATTGACAGGCAGTGATCGCTTAATGATTATAATCAATTATAAATGTCATTTATTGAACTGATCATGCCAATCATTGAACTGATCATGCCATTATGAACTTAATATGTCATATTGTATTCAGTGATGACTCATGATTGTACTCATTACGCCAATTATAATTACATGATCTTTGAATGACATCACTCAATTTTCCATCATGAGTTATAATTACAAAATCATCATACATTTTCAGTTCAGTTGGAACTTCTAAATTATGAAACAATTTTTTTAAAACAATACTTTTTTTAACGAAATTTGCCATATTAGTGTTGTCTGTGCATTTTAATTTTTGTAATTTTTGTTCAAATCAAAACCTTTTCTCTTGAAATTATTTCCATTTTCATGATAAGTCTATGGGACTCCAATTTTATTAAATATGAATTGTACTAATTTGAATTTTGATCTCACGTATAACGTTGAATTGTCATATACAATAATTTGGCAAATCAAAACGACACCTTTAAAAAAAGAACATAACTCTACAATTTGACAAGCTCAAAACTTTCATGGTCATATTATATTGAAATTTTTGTCCAAAAAATAAGTGTTGTCGAGGCTTTCATGCGACGTACTGGAAACAAATTAAAAGAGATTGCTGGAAAAAGTTATTGAAGATTGGATTTCGTGATTTAACTTGGAAAGAGATGGCAAATGAATTACCGATGTGAGTCCAATACCGATTAACGAAAGTGACACTAATCGCGATTAAACATACTAATCATATTCATAAGTTAATTGTTCTATGTCGATTATCATATTTAGGATTATTATTGTTTTATTATTATATCTTTTCACAAGTTTATTAATCATTCTATTGAAATATTACTGGATTTATCAACCTACTAAACAAATTATTATTACTGAATATTGCCCCTCCATGGGGTACCGAATAAATATTAATCTAATATCCATAATAGGATTGTCAAATTATGATTGCAGCAATCATTTGACCCACAGTTGTTCCGTCGTCTTGACTTCCCTGTATCAAACCTTGTTTTTAGCCATATATTTCCAATGGTAGACAACTTTTGACGTGTATATATTGTATAAAGTTTGTATTCGTATCTATATCAAATTTGTTATTACAAATTCTTCACAGGAGACTTCCTAACCCATGTATGAGCATTGATTAAATTCCACGCAACTGCGTATGGTATTCGAGCTATTGTTACCAACAACGCAAATCATTATATCATTATCAATAATCTCTTAACAATCAAGTTCCTCTAATTGTATGCTTTACTTGTTAACTAAAGTATTTAAAATTCAGTTATGAAGTAATATCACGAATCTTATGCATACGGTCAAACCAGCAGTATAAGACTGTAATACATCGCAAGTAGACGGAATGTTTCAATTACTAATGTTGTTTCATTAATTTTATTGATTAAAAAAAACTCTAATATACAGCCAATCTTATCTTTTGGATTTTTACTGTGCCATATCAATTAGGAGAATTAACTGATTTTTTTAATATTACCTTTATAACCCGATACTTTTTTGGAGCAGTATAAGACTGTAATACATTACAAGTTGACAGAGTTTCAATTACAAAATTCCTACGTTTTGCTTATTTCACTTATTTGCTTATTCTACAATCTGTCTATCTCATTTATTCGGACTTTACTGTGCCATGTCAATTATGACAATTAATTATTCGCGCTAATTTAGTTATCAGTACCTTTATTATCTATATTCATTACTCTATAATGGCCCATATATTTAACTTTATGGAGGTTTACTTTCAACAGGTGTTGAGCAAGATGTCACTATCTGAACCTCATTGCTAAAATTGTTGAAAAAAGTTTCTGGTGGTATTATTTTACTATTATATATCTTAGAAGCAATTTAAGAAAGACAAACTTTGAAGAATAACAATCTACCAGAACAACATATATAAAGCTTAATTTCATATGGAATAAAATTCTTGGAGTTTATTGTCGCATCACTGGTGAATTTGGATTCCCAACTCTCGAGAGATCTTTATCAGGCTTAGCACTTACGAACAGACCGTCGGTTATTCTCATCCGAATAACTAGATTCCATGTCAGCCCGGCCGACCTTGATAGTTATGCAGAGAAGACAAATGAATATAGTTACTTATGGAGGGTTCTGCTTTTATTTCTCCAAAAGTTTCTTATAAGACATATATTTTCTAAACTTTAGCATGCTTGGACAAATACTTTATAAGGTTACGCTTTTGCATCTTATTTGTCAAACTTTTGAATATATATGTGAACATTTTTCAAAGAGACTTTTAGTGGCATTTAGTAAGTGGGTAATAAATAATTGCACACAATTTTATGGATAACAATTACGTTAATAAATAACTTGCGACTGCTTGATAAAGTACCTTCGTTCAAACGTATTACCCACTTACTAAGTATATTTGGTGCCATGGAAGTTTCAAATATACGTTAATTTTCAATATAATGTAATGTTTATAACGCTTTTCCCCGGAACTTTATGATTTTTAGTTTATATATTTAAAGGGAAATTTTCCTGGCTAGACGTTTAATATTATTCGCTGATCGCTACATACCTCATTTTATGATTATGGTGGCTCAATAGAATTTCCATATTATTTCTTTTCATCTTACAACAAACTATATGTGTTCCACTGTTTTATTAGAAATAAACTGGCTTTAAATCGAAGAAATTAGGATTTTATATGATGAATATCACGTGATGTAATTCAATTAATACTAAACGTAAACATTAATAGAAAGAAGTGTAACATGTTTATGTAGAAATACATTAAGGTGTTTAAAACAATGCTCTACATGTATTTCAAGTACTAATTTATTGATCTTAGTACTCTATTGTCTAGACCGTATACTTTCAATTTGGACTACTTGTAAGTAAATTCAAAATGGCTGACAGTCTCGATCACACAAGACTCTAAGTTGACAATAGGCTCCACAAAAAGCCACTATTAGCAGAAGTAAAAGGCATAGAACAATTTATCAAAAAGACCGCACGATCTTCTGATCTTGAGAGGATGAAGTCTCTTAAATCTGATCCCAGTAAAAATTTAATCTACAATATTTGAACGCGGGCTTTTACACACAATTTGGATTAGATTTTAGTCTTAAAACAAATATGTGGAACGCTCTGGGCTTACAAAAGGCGATTGCCCAGAAGCATTATGATGTTTCAGCGAACGATAATTTTTTAAAATAGAAATTAAAAAAAGGAAGAGTTAAGATAATTATTATTGATGTTTAAGAGTCGAAAAAGTTAGTATTGAATTTATGATTGCTTATTGTCATATATCATTTCATTATGGACTAGCTTCCTCATAGATTCTCATTTTGTAATCGGAATGCGGCCGAGTAGTTACAACAGTTTCGTTGCATGACTTTTGATACATGCATATAAATATACATTAATAAAATGCATATACTAATATCACATATCGGATGTGCTTTAAATGTAGAATCATTTCATTTTTGATTCTTAACCTTATCCAAATGACATCTCGTTGTTTCGACACAACCTAAAATAAGTGCCCCTTTGCCATTGTAATGTTTCGCTTTGTAATTTTGAAATAATTTTTTTTGAAACGATATTTCCTTATTTAAGATAAATGTTCAAAATATACATGCAATACAGACAGAATCATGATACTTATTTGAATCTGTCTCGCTGAACGGAAAGAATAATTAAAGAAAAAATAACAAATGCAGTAATGCTTTTTGGAATTGTACAGATGTAATTTGTTTTAGAAGGATAATTAATAAGGGTTAGAAATGCGATAAAATGTAAATTAAATATGCATAAACATACGCATATTTAAGAACATCTACAAACCTCTAGTGATATGCAGGAGATGATTATCTTTAAATATAAGATCTGTAAAAATATTTGCTTAAATATGTTAGGAAGTGTTAGAATTGTGTGTACTAATTATTTTCGTGGGGCCGAAACATACACACCTATGCAGACATGTATTGTTCTCAGAACACGTTACAAATCGAAGCTACCTTGTGATTTTATACACGGAAGTTGTTTTCGTACTACATCATATAACACCATGTTCGCTGCATTAGTTGTACATTAACTAATTTATCCAATCAATTCTCAGCGACTTGCTGTTTCTAAATGATTAAAGGGCCGTTTTTTATTAGCAATTTATATATCAATATACGCCTTTCCAGACGTTTGTAAATGTAAGTGCTGAGATCACAAGTATTATTTATACAATTAAAAACGACCGACATTGCTTTTCAATTAGCCCATGGCGTACAATTTTCCAAATAGTAATTGGTCTCCTATTTAGTTTACGATAGTACAGAAATGTTTACAATTGAAAAGGCAACAGAAATGACTAGTCAATGTTAGAACTCCCCCCCCCCCCAAAAAAAAAAATAAATGTTTGCCTACGATCATTCGAAGGCTTTCGAAAAAATTGATATGCCATATCTGGGATAAAATGTACATGGGAGTGATTTACAACTAAACCTTCCTCTCTAGAGACGTGGGGCTACTAGTACTGGTTGCTTCTTACGTCCTCTTCGCTGGTAAAATCT